CTTTTTTCTCCAACGACATTTGCTCCTGAAGGCTGAAGGAGGTCCATTTTTCTTCTCCTCTCTACCTCATAATTATGCCCATGTTGAACCAATCGTTCCATACATGTAGAATATGGTGATTTTTGGGCATCTCATGCATTCTTTTTTTGTATTACCATTCTGAAATATGGTCGATGCAAGGTCATCCTACCACATAAATAAACACAAGTAGCGTTTTTTTTTTTTTTTGAAAAACCAATATTATCTACATGGAATTGGTAATAAACACAAGTAGTTGATAAACAAAAAATCCAACAAATTGATATATGAAGGTAAAGCCTCACCTGCTACACACGATCCCAAAATACTTCTAGAGGTTGATTGTTGCTCGAACACCATCGACAGAAACCACAACCCCCAAGCCTCACATAAAGCTTCATCTTTCTTTTTCTATTTTTTTTCCTTCCAATTTGGACCTGCAGTTTATCCTAAAGACATCTTCAAAAAAATTGAGGGAGAAAGAAGGATATGAAAATTGTATGAGGAGGAAATTGATTTTGTGTAGATGAATGAGCAAATAAATGAGTATATATTATATATATATATATATAGTTTCGGATAATTTTTTAAGTGGGTCCGTTTTTAAAGTTTTCATTTTATTATTTTGTTCGTTGAATTAAAATTTCAGCAATTGAATTTTTTTATCGTGAGTTTGAAAAAAAAACAAATATGGACCGTTATATCAAAATCCAAAGATTGAACAGAAAAAAGGAGTTTGATCTGAATCAAAAGTCCAAAAATCGAAAGGCTTGGTTTGAAACCAATATTACCGTTGGATAGCTAGGTTCCTGGCAACGTAGAGCACAGTTGTGGGCCACTATCCTACAACCTCCGCCCCTTTATTTTTTAAAGGGAAATTTTATTTAAACCCATGTAACATATTTCTACACCCAACTTATTCTTTGCACCCATTTGATTTTTAACTAAACTATTAATATTTCTTTAAACCCAAATTTATTACCTATTATACCCCCATAAACCCAATTCAATACGTATATTTTTCTTTATCCCCATTTGATTTTTTAACTCTATCTTTACGCCGTCTGGAAATGGACACTGAAAATTGGGGTGTGAATTCAGCCATGGCTGACAACAAGACTAACACTTCTATAAATGTTGACAAAAACCATGCATCACCATCTCTCCCTTTGCATTATTGATCAACGGGTGCATTGTTCTGGTTTTGTTTTTGTCTTCAAGTCCCCCCCCCCTTTATATTTTAATTCGATAAAAGGCCATATATGAAAGGAGATTGGAAGTTTGAATAAATTGACGAGCTTAAAATTTATTCATGATGATTTTTGGTTAATTAATAAATTAGGTAGGGTTTAAGGTGATTAGGTTGTGTCTTATCGAAGTTGGTTTTTTTTTTTTTTTTTTTTTTTAATGATTGTGGGGTTTCACATAGTTGCAGGTAGCTACAAAAAAAAAAATCGGCCCAAAAGATGGAAAGGATGAGAGAGAAGGTGGTGGTAGTGGTAATGGTAGTGGTGGTAGTGGTGGTAGAGATGGATCGCTACACGTGAATCAGGAAGAAGCATTGAATTGGAGCAAGAGTTACGTAGGGACTCCTCCTTCGATCAATTGATTTCAACATGGCTTCTAATATTAATTGAAACACTTTCTTTTTTTTCTTTTTTTTGTTGAGCGACTGCAGCAATTTGTTGTTACAAAAAGATAAACAAACTATGCGGGATTGATTGAAAAAAAAAAAAAACCAAAATACTCATCTTCTAAATTCTAAAAAATTGAAATCAAACGAACAAAAATTCAAAAAATTGAGTCATATCTTGGTTGAAGGATTCAAAACTTCAAAATCACCATCCATCAATAAAAAAAACTTATTTTTCTCTATGAGAGCTATTAGGGTTTTAGCCGGAATGAACGTAGGATAAACAAAGAGTGATCGTAGGGTTTAATTATAGTGTTTGGGTTTATTGATAAATTTAAGTTTTATTATTAATTTCATTTTGTACTTAATAGTAATTATGCAATAGGGTAAAATAAACAACTAATATTTAAAATTTAAATTAGATGTAGAAAGAGATTGCATGGATTTAAATAAAATTTCCCTTAAAAGGTAGGCCCCTCTACATTTGGGTAAGGCGAGTAGAAAGTCAAATTTGGGTTTTGCGTTTGGATCAAAACCCAAATTTATTGGGTTTAGATCTTTACCATTGGGTGACTTTTTTGGGTTTAGGTGTTTGTGTTGGTTAATGGGGCAAATGAGAACTTCAAAATTTACTGGGTAGGAAGGGGCAAAATGAGAGCTCTAATATTTATTCCTTTAATATTTCCTTGTCTGGCATCGCACTCTCCTTTCACTTTCGGTTGCCACTTTTTCATCATTCCCATCTGCAGTCTTGTTTACATGTTTTGGGTGTACTGTGTGTATACCCCCCAATCACATCTATCTCTCTCTCTCTCTCTCTCATGTTGATATCTGCCTCTCTTTCAGCACCCTCCATCATAATACCCTCTCGAATTCCTCAGCACGCCTTCTTTTTCCTTTTCCGACCACAATATTTATTAATTAACACATGACCTAGCTAGCAAGCTGCTTCAGCCAAAAAAATGTTTCCCAACTCTCAAGAAAAAAAAAAGGGTCTTGAAATATCAGAAGAAGATCGTTTCAGGCCAATTACTCCGATTCGAGTGGCCATTCCAATTCCACGAGCTTTAAAGAAGACAAAGGAGGAGGAGGAGGAGGAGGAGGAGGAGGAGGGGGCAGTGGCGGAGGAGGAGCTTTTGCATTTGGAACATGAAGAAGAATGCCACACACCCAAGTCACCAACTGCTCACGTGACCTTGAAGCAACTACCATTAGTGTGTCCACCAGCACCCAAGAAACCTCGCCAAGCTGCCAGAAGAAGTTTGAGGAGGTTATGGCCTTCACAATCACAATACTTTTTTAAGGTTCCAGACGACCTCGAATCGCTGTTTATGGTTATCACTGGTACTAATAGTCCTGCGAAGAATATAAGTGTTTGGAAAATTTAATAATAATATTTTTATATTAAATTTATTAATTGAATGGAAATTAGAAGTGGAACCTTTTAGTAGAAAGATATGTCTACTTAAATAAAGTGTTGCAACTTTTGACTCTTCATGAATAGTCACATGTTTTCCAAAGAGGTATCTCACATTCTATAAATAGGAAAGTCCCCTATAATCATACATAAATATAGTGCATTAAATATTAGAGAGTCTCATTGAGTCCATATGAGAGAGTTTTCAACACAATCGTGGTTCATGGAGCCTTGTGATTTGGAGTGCTACTATTACAAGGACGTGGTTGTAGACATCGAAATTTCGGTAAATAAATGTTGACCGATAAATTAAAGTGTCAACGCTCATGTATTACATAAATTTTACACGTAGCGTGCGACTCAACGAAAATTGAAATGAGTTGGAAAAGTCATCAAATAGGACACGTGTCAACACCTGGCAGAAACAACTTATTTCATCTGGGATATTATATTCAAAATTAGGCCTTGGAAAATTCTATAAATACAAGCCCATTTCATTCATTTGGGGAACAAAAAAAATTCATATTACACCTTGAAGCTCTGAAGCTCTGAAACTCCGAAGCTCTCAAGCATCCAGGTTCCTGAAGAATCAAGAAAGCCTTCTTCGTTCTTCGTTCATCGTTCTTCCAAGATCAAGCCCCGACAGCCATTGGATCAACAATCATCCACCTTCAAGATCAAGCCCCGACGGCCCTTGAAGAACTTTCACCAATTCAAGATCAAGCCCCGACGGCCCTTGAAGAAAGTGTTCATCGTTCATCATCCGTTCATCCACAAGGATCAAGCCCCAACGGCCCCTTTGGATCGACAACATCAACGAATCCGTTCATCAAGCTCAAGCCCCAACGGCCTTTGAAGATCCATCAATCACTGTTCTTCAAGATCAAGCCCAACGGCCCTGGAAGATCCGTTCATCACTATTCTTCAAGATCAAGCCCAAAAGCCCTTGAAGATCCGTTCATCACCGTTCATCCAAGATCAAGCCTTGACGGCCCTTGGATCAATCACACATCCACAAACCAATACCTTACGGAGATCGAATCAGAGGACCAAATTAGAGAGAGATTGTAACCCAAAATCATCAAATACAAAATATTTGTTTGTGCACGTTGTTCTTGTCTCTTTCGTTTCAGGAAATTTTCGTGTTCACAGTGGTCGTTGTATCTTGGGAGACATGCGCCAATCAACCATGAGCACCGTAGTGGGGCGTAAACTTGTCTTAAGGATAAAATGTCCAACACTTGCCTCAACCGTATTTTCTAGGTTTTTCTAATCCATTATATCATGTTAATTTAACATTGATTACTCAAGTGCATACATTATTTTGATATATAATTGCATGAATTATTTCTTAATTTTCTATGTGATTTAATATAGCAATTAGACTCTAATTTTTCCAACAATCTTAAGACAAGTTTATTGGTTTATTTGCTATATGTTGGCGAGATAGAATTTTAGAATTTTGTATGTTCTTCCTTGCGTCCAATATTGTTATGCACATTGATTACAATAGTGTTGCCTATGTATCATATATTATTTACTATTCGAAGACATATATATTGTGAAGCGGTGCATTTGCTTGTCTAATGAATTGTATTCTTACCATAGTACTGAATGATATTTCCGTTTTTATATATGAATCACGATCCATGATTATGATATTAATCTTGGTGCATGTTGACTAGGGATGGGCAAAATACCCATGGGTATGGGTAACCGCGATTACCCACCCATTTAAAGTTGATGGTTATGGTTATGGGTAACCATTTAAACAAATAAACGGTTATGGGTATAACCGTTTATCCATGAAATTTAAATGGGCGGTTATGAGTATTATCCGCGGTTATAACGGGTATCCATCGGTTATGGTTAATATTCATGGTTATAACGGGTATCCATTTACCCATTTAATCATCGTCTTCTCTATGGACCATGGAAAACCCTACGGAAACACTCCCTGACCCCCAAATCAACAGCCCAGATCCCCCGAACAACCCAGAAGCCTCCGAACCCGATCATGTTCTTCTCGCCGAGCTCGACTCCCTCTGCCAGTTGCACCAGAGCCTGCTATCGAAGGCGGCGGCGATGGAGGAAGAGTCTAATATCATCCGGAAGCAGAGAGACGACGCCCTGGCTCGCAACGTTGAGCTAATTAAAGTCGTCGGAGAAATTTCCGGCAAGAGGGACTCTTCGCGGCGAAATTCAAAAGCTCGAAGATTTTCTGAGAGAAAAGGAAGACGGGTTTGCTTCCAAATTGGAGGAGGAGTTGAAGACGAATGAGGCGATCGAAGACGAGGTGCGAGTTTGTCGGGGGACGATTGAAATGTTGGAGCTTGAGAGAAAAGAGAGAGATGGGTTTTTGTTGAAGTGCCTGGATTCGCTCTGATCGACCAAGGAGGGCATAATCGGAATAATCGACGGCGTCGGCGACGAAAAGGCTGAGAATGGAGCTGAAGAAGCTGAGGGGGTTTGGGAGGAGAGTGCGGCAGTTGCGCGGCTGGCAGCTTCGGCGGAAGCGAAGGTGAGTGAGTATAAAGAGCTGAGGAAGAAGGAGAAGGAGTTGGAGAAAAGCGTGGTGAGTCTGACAGAGAAGAATAGGGATATCAGCAGCTTGCTGAGGGTTGCTCTGGTGGAGAAGGAGGCGGTGGAGAAGAAGTTGAAAGGAAACAGCGAGCAGAAGCGGGTGGCGCTTTTGCATATTGCGGAGAGGGGTTTGCAGAAAGTTGGGTTTGGGTTTATAATGGAGAGAGGGCGTTAGCTCAAAATGTAATGGCTAGTTGTATACACTACATAGAAGTGCTTTTTTTTTGGGTCAATTACATAGAAGTGCTTTTATTAAAGAACAAAAGTCGATTGATCAGAAACTCAAAAAATAAAGAACAAAAGTCGAAATTTTTATTGAAAATGCTTCTTGGAAAAGCAGTTGGAAGTGCTTTTCATTTTTTGATTAACTATCGTTAAAAAAAATAATGTAGACGGGAGAAAAAAAAAGGTAAATGGGTAAAAAAAGGATAAATGGGCGAAAAAATGGGTAAACGGGTAAATGGTTATGGTTATGGTTAAATGGGTAAATGGTTATAGGTAAATGGGTACACGGTTATGGGTATGGATAACCGTTTATAAACGGTTATGGTTATGGGTATAACCATTTATGTAATTACCCAACGGGTAAACGGTTATGCGGGTATGAACATAAACGGTTATGGGTAAAATAACCGCGGTTACCCGCCCGCATAACCATTGCCCATCCCTAATGTTGACAAGTAATTATTTAGTGGTAGAACGGTTTGACAATTCAAACCGTATGTCATCAGGCATGCATATCTATCCATCTATATTATTAAGAGAACACACCTTGTCAACCTTTTTGCCCAATTTTTCCAATTTTACCTCTCATTTTTAATACACAATGTTGAGATAAGGAGGGCAAAATAGTAATTTTGTACCTTTTGATAAAATGACAATCATATCCCTTTTTCCTATTTTGCCCTCACTTTTTATACACAATATTTACATAAGGAGGGCAAAATAGTAATTTTGTATCAAAATATTTGCATAAGATAAAAATATGCACTTATTAAGAGAAATTGTCACCATCATTTTTTTATACAAGTAAGTGAAATCATGATGTTTTTTGGATAGTTTGAATGAACTGAAGCGATTGCACTTGAGGATAACGTGAGAAGAGGTGGATGGTTGTTCACACACACAAAGTGTGTGCTCTCTACTAGTGTTTAATTATCTGAATACAAATCATAACATTTGCCTAGATTGGCTACTGATTGGCGAAAGGATGTGGTAGGCTGGAAATTACATCCTTCCTGCCAAGCCCAAAAAGGGAACGGCCATGACTGTTCAAATCTGAACAAATGCATGAAAGACTAAACATATGCCATCTTTCCAAAAATGATGACTTATGGGTCTATTGTCAGACAGTAACCATATTACAGAGATGTGGTTATGATTTGATCCTTTTCAGACTTACAAAAGAGATCAATGGTGTCTATGAATGGCATCAGTTTGCAGTTGGCAATCATGTCTTCATGCTAGAAACGTAAATGGTGTATCTTTTGCATTTAAAATGAAAAGATACGTTAATTGGTAAAACAACCAAACACATATGTTGGATTACATGAATAGTACCATGAGTCATAACTAATTGAAAGGCTTTGCCATGTGTGTGTGATTTCATGTGAAGTTTGAGTTTAGTGTTCACAAGAAAATTTACTTCACACGAACAACTTGCATTTCTAATTGATAGAATACATTCTCAAACCTGATCCGTTGGAATGAGTTGTATTCATATGAAAGGGTATATAAGTTATAACCCTAAGGGAACTGGACACACGCCTTTTGGTGTAGTCAGAACTCATTATTACATTGTAACAGATTCTTATATTCAACTCTGGAAGATGACAATTAGACTGTGAGGGGCAAGGTCTATTTGAAAGACTTAAAACACTCTATAGATGAGTCTTTAACAATGGGAACTATGAAAGTTGTCAAGACAGAGCCCTAACAGATGAAGATAGATATGATATATAAAGTCTATTTTTATCGACTTTCTTCTCAAGTATGATGTATGATGAAAGAGTTATTAATAGCATTAAAACAACCACAAAGTGTGCGAATTGTGGGGGTGGCTTAGCTGTTTTTGAGAAATATGGTATACTTAAAAATAATGCAAAAGTAATTTGCTTCTAGAAAGAGGTAACGATTACTTATAATTGAAGTTTTAAGGTATTGAAGGGTTGGAGATCTTCTAGCAAATACCTTAAATGTGGGGGAGTTAACCCAAATGTTAGCAAATTACTTAGTAAGTCCTAATATATGTTTGGAGGACTTAACGTTGGAAAACAACTACTCTCAAACGAAAGTTAGTTCCATGCATGGATATAAAGTTTGTGATGGCCATATAATGAGTGGTCAACCTAGTGGTACCAATTTTTAAAGGTTTGACTAGAGAATAAGTTGTATCATCAAGGGGAATGGGTTAAAAGCCTACGTCTTAAGAATTGCCATAATGGTAACCCAACCTAGCTAACTGGAGATCCCAAGATCTAGGTTCAAAGGGATAACCGAATTGTGGATGATTCAATGGGAGCACTGCAGAGATAATCTCCTACCCATGTCGTATGATGAAACAGTGCTATTTGCAGTGTATTTAGGATAAGCTTTGCTTTTAATGATTCCTATACTTGGAAATAACAAGTGGGGTATTGCAGGATACTGTTAATGGAAAGTCACCTATCTTGAGTGAGGAATGGGGCCGTTGTGAGAATTTTTTGAAGGGCTTAGTTCTCTAAAAGCACTCATGAGAAACCAAGAATTGTTAGGGCCAAAATGAACACAATACAGCAACCATGGGGTATTTGGAAGGGTATTGTATGATTACTATTGTCTTGGTTTACACAAACGACTGAGCAATTCAAGATATCGGGTTCATTGATTAGCCAAGTAAATCCGATAGTAATTCACTACAGAAGGTTCAAAGCCAAAAGCCACTTATCCTAATGCGGCTGAATTCTCTCTCTAGTGTTTGCATTGTCATTTGCATAGTGTTGCGTCAATTTCCATTCATGTAGGGGATTGTTGGAAAATTTAATAATATTATTATTATATTAAATTTATTAATTGAATGGAAAGTAGAAGTGAAGCCTTTTAGTAGAAAGATATGTCTACTTAAATGAAGTGTTGCAACTTTTGACTCTTCATTAATAGTCACATGTTTTCCAAAAAAGTATCTCATATTCTATAAATAGGGAAGCCCCTATAATCATATAAGAACTTTTCATTGTTTACATAGTCATACATAGATGTAGTGCATTAAATATTAGAGAGTCTCATTGAGTCCATATGAGAGAGTTTTCAACACAATCGTGGTTCATGGAGCCTTGTGATTTGGAGTGCTATTATTATAAGGATGTGGTCGTTGTATCTTAGGAGACATTCGCCGATCAACCATGAGCACCGTAGTGAGGCGTAAACTTGTCTTAAGTACAAAGTGTCCAACACTTGCCTCGACCGTATTTTCTTGGTTTTTCTAATCCATTATATCATGTCCATTTAACATTGATTACTCATGTGCATGCATTATTTTGATATATAATTGCATGAATTATTTCTTAATTTTCTATGTGATTTAATATAGTAATTAGACTCTAATTTTTCCAACAATATAAGAACCAGTTAAGATCGTGATATGTATGCTCTAGTACGTAGTTATTGAAATTAATATTACATGATTACGCTCTTCTTCGAAAGAGAAAATATTTCTTGGATTTATTTATTTTTGTAGTTTCTGGTTGTAATTCTCCAACACGTGATCTCTTCTCTTCTCTTCATCCTTTTTCTTTGCAACCCAATTTGTTACTAACAACAATATGACCTCTGTAAATGGAAAATGTTTAAGTTGTATTTCAATTGCTACCGGCTACAATTTTCTAATTTTTGTATTTTATGATACCATTCTCCCTTAATCCTTTGACTGCTACTACTTCATACGATTTTGAGCAACTTTTCTTGTACAAATTAAGCCTGAGATGCTAAAATTAGGTTTATTGGGAATTTTATAATATGCTTCTTTTATTTGTCGGAGGTAAATAGGGTTGTACACGAGCCGAGTTGAACCGAATATTATGTGCTTAAGTTTGGCTTATTTATTTATTTTTTTTTTTCCAAACTCGAGCTTGTTTGGCTTGATTTTCCACGAGCCGAGCTCGAATGAGATTAAAAAAAAATGAACTTGATACCGAGTTTAAGCTGTTTTGAGCTATTTCTTATAGAAAGTTGGTTCGATTGTGTAAAACACTTTGCAATATTATGATAGAGTTTAGGCATAAGAGTTGACTACAATATCAAACATTTAATATCGTGTTTCATGGTAATCAGTTCAATAAAGAAAAAAAGGTCTGACGATATATATATTGTCATGTAGACTGTATCAATCGATTGATATATAGTTAAGGTTCTAAAATGAGCTTGCCACTAGTCAAGCAACGGACAGGGACTTGGGCGGGGGTCTAGGTATTTTTTTTAACTTCAATTACATTTATTATTATATCACATATAAATAAGGGAAATACCCAGAAATAGGACAATTTCTTAATCTTGGTACATAAATAGGATATTTCGAATATGCACACGCCATGCACAAAAATCAGACATAAATAGAATTTTTCCTACACCTTGAAATGACTTAATTCCCCTTGTATATAAATGGGTTATTTCTTCTCATTTTTTTTATTTCTCTCTCTTTCTACTCTCTCCCTTCCTCTCTCTCTTCTCGCACTTTCTTCCTCACGCACTCTCTCTCCCCTTCTCACTGTGCACTCATGGTGCACTGTCATCCTAACCAACACCATCCAAATCGAAGCTCGAGAGCACCACCACTGGACTCACATCGAGGGTAGGAACAAAGCCTAGTCATTATATGCTGGTCTTTTGTTGGATGAATTTTTCAGGATTTGCTCACTGTATGTACACGACATGCACATACTATGCTCACAAATCTAGGCCAAGTTCCTTCATCAATGATTTATGGAACAAATGGGTGAATTAATGCTTAGAAATTAAATTCACTAGTTATGATGCACGTATATTGTGCCCTGGATTTAGCAAGTATGACTACAACCTAGTTGGCCTTAGTGAAAAAAAAAAAAAAGTTTAGAGGACGTTAAGGATCATGCGTGTTCATGAAATAACGACAAGTATCATGATTTCTACGTGCACATTTAAGCAGTGATTGATATACGCAGC